GGTCCTGTGCATGTGTGAATCCGGTCCTGTGCATGTGTGAATCTTGACCAGTGCACGTGTGAATCTGGTCCTGTGCATGTTTGAATCTGGTACTGTGCATTTGTGAATCTGGTCCTGTGCTTGTGTGAATCTGGTCCTGTGCATGTTTGAATCTGGACCTTTGCATGTGTGAATCTCCTCCTGTGCATGTGTAAATATGGCCCTTTGCTTGAACAAATCTGGTCCTGTGCTTGTGTGAATCTGGTCCTGTGCACGTGTTAGTCTGCTCCTGTGCATGTTTGATTCTGGACCTTTGCATGTGTGAATCTCGTCCTGTGCATGTGTAAATATGGACCTGTGCTTGTTCGAATCTCATCCTGTGTATGTGTAAATATGGACCTGTGCTTGTTCGAATCTCGTCCTGTGCTTGTTTAAATATGGACCTGTGCTTGTTTGAATCTGGTCCTGTGCATGTGCCTACAGAATATAAAAATTTACAAGACAAAAGATAAAATGACCATGGCCTGTTAAATTACAACACACAGCTTTCTCTGAATTGCTCATCTCAATGAACCGAAAGCAGAAACAAAATCCGGCTTCAGTTTAATCTTGAGTAAAATGTGAAAAAGCATGAATTATACAAACATTATTTGATCATTATTTTAATGCCCACACTACCAATCACATCTCAGACACATGTTCCTCTCCTGACTACTGATCTGACTGCAGACCTGAACTCATCCCTTGAGTGGCCCCTGTGCCCAGAGGAGAAAAAAAGAAAAACTGCTTGCTTATTAATTTGTTTTTTAATTGAATTTCTCCTGCCATTTCTCTGCTTAGTTAATCCCTGCACTGGCCTGTGGGCAGATGATTGGCGTGTAATTACCAGCTGTCGCCATGTGTGCTTCTTCAGTGCTTCTCTTCTTACTCTGCTCATGGCTAAGGCAGCAAAATCTCTTGGACTATCTCTCTACTTGTCCACTCTTACATATCTGCCTCTCCCTCCAGTCTGCTCAGTTCCTCTCTCTCCAAATCTCTTCTGTCTCTCATTTATGTATCTAAGGAAACATCAATCCCCAGAAGGGATTTTTCAAGAGTGAGGACGTATTTTTCTTTTCTTTTCAGAATCAGAAAAAAAGTTTTATAATCACTTTTTGTACAGCCTGTATCAGTTGTGGCATCAGTGAGAGCGGTGGCTAAGTTAAACTCCTTCATTCTTTGAGGACACATGTTAATAAAATAGGCAGCAGATAACAGTAATTACCTCTCAGTGGCTCCTGCTCCTCACTGGGAGGACACAGTGCAAGAGTGAGGTCTGCCTCTTCACAAGCCTGTATGTTTAAAAGATTAATTCTGTTTTTAATTAGAGCGCACCCTGAGCACTACGCCAAATGCTGTCTTCCCTCCATCCTTGTCATCACTGTATTAGCATAAGTAATTAGATTCCTATTTTCTTACACAGTGCTGGTATCCATGTGGATGTGGGCAATAAAGTTCACCAGTAGAATAATGGAGTTCACAGTTGAAGCATCTTTCAGCACCCACACGGGGGGTTCAAAGAAGGCAGTGTACTCTGAACTGCTGTTTGGTGCATAGGCACAAATGATAGTTAGAGCCCATCCCAATACTCCCACAATGGCACACAGAAGTAACCCTCTCATTTATGGGGGAAAACCTGCAATGCACAGATGCCAATCTGGGTGGCAATAAGTAGGTCTACACCAACTGGGTAGCTCTCATCATACGCAAATCCAGAGTAAAGTAAGATCCAGCCACTTCCAATGAGAATGCTTCACGTCTCGTCGGGACCAGCTTTGAACTTAGGAAAAAGTTATTCTGACCCACAAAAGAGGATTATGACCTTTAAACAAAAACAAAAAAGCAAACAAATAAAACCTGACTAACAAGAAAACCCGTCTGACTTACCCAGCATGTCAGTCCTGAAAGAAACCCTGGATTAACCCCTCTGAAGGATTACTGAGACATGATGGTTTTTACTGGCTGAATCTCAGATAGCTTTTTTTCCCCTCCTGTGACTGACCACCCTATTGTGTTTTAGTTCCATTCATGATTAACGTTTCGAACAATTATTATATTTTTGAAATCTCTTCTTCCATCTTAAAAACAAGTAAACTGCTTATTTAGCAACACTGTTCAAGACGTTATTTAATATTGGCACAAAGAGTTTTAGAATTATTAGGGAAATATACCATCCTAACTGGGCCTTCCTGAAAGCAGAGAAGAAACCCAAACAGGACTCCAGTCAGCCATCGGGTGAAAAGGAGGAACCCAGACCCAGACCAGTGGTCATTCCATATGTTGAGGGAGTATCAGAGAAACTGAGACGTTTATTTCCTAAACACAACGTCCCAGTGGCTTTTAAACCCCAAAATACATTAAGGCAAAGACTGGTTCATCCCAAAGATCCAGTCCCCCGGCACAAACAGAGTAATGTTGTGTATGCTGTTCAGTGTCAGGAGGGTGATCAGTCTTACATCGGGGAAACTAAACAGCCACTGGCCAAAAGGATGGCCCAGCACAGAAGATCAACAACATCAGGCCAGGACTCTGCGATCTACACTCATCTTCAGGCCAGCGGGCACTCTTTCAGGGATGAAGATGTTCACATCCTGGATAGAGAGGAACGATGGTTTGAGAGAGGAGTAAAGGAGGCCATCTTTGTGAAAAGAAATTGTCCATAATTAAACAGGGGTGGAGCCTCCGGGTTCAACTGTCCCCCTCTTACAATGCTGTTACTGCTAGTATCACTCAACCCCCTGTGAATAGTAAACAGCCATCAATGTGCTAATGATCCATTGTTAGGCTGATGGTTCTTCTTGATCATGTGAGCAGCTGGTTTTGGTTGTCAGCAGCAAAACTGGTTGGTCCACTCTGAGAAGGTGCTATTTATAAGACTGAGCTGAATACAGCTCCTCAGACTGTGGAAGTCTTTCAACGAAACTTTTCTACATTTTGTTGTTGTTGTTGTTTTGTTTTTGTTTTTTTAATGTCTAGAGGACCAGATTGAACTTTTTTTTAGACATCCTAGGTAATATTAACTAAATAAATAATAGTTGCCTTATAATTTTTTGGGCTGATTGACATGTGTATACTGCAGTTTGGTGGTTCTCAAACTTCACAGCAAGTAAATTAATAATGACGATGACAGCTGCAGGAAGAGGAGAAGCTTTGGTGCTGAACCTGAATCTATTTCAACCAAACAAAGCTCATTTTTTTCTGAGTTTCTGTGGTTGTTTAATAACAACAGATTCAACACTCGTGTTTTTCTTCAAATCGCATAAAACTTTTGCCTTTTACTAAAGGTTTCCAATGAGAGGAGCAACATAAGTTTCAACTATTTATTTGTATGTGGGGAGTGGTGGCACAGAGGTTAGAGAAGGTGGGCCTGGGATAGGAAGGTCGCCAGTTTGAATCCCCGTACAGACAACATCAAAATGTGGGTGGAAAAGGTGAAACATTCACACCTGCCTCCACCTTCACTCACCTCACTCTGGGCTCTTGTTCAAGGCCTTTAACCCCCACAATCTGCTCCCAAACAGGTCTCTTTTGAAAATGAGTCATTGTGGCTCAATGAGACTACCTGTAAAAACAAAGGTTAACCCTCCTGTTGTGTTCACCTCCCACTCCTTACTTTAGTGTTCCTGGTCAAAATTGGCCGGTCTGTTTTAACTGCTCTTAAATTACCACAAAAATAATTTTTCACCACCAAATTTTTATTCAACACTCTTTAGCTGTGAACAATGTCTCAAAGTAGTGTTTAACATAAACATATTGAATTAGACATAAAATAACTGCAGTAAATTCAAATCAATTCAACCTTTATTTAGACAGGTAATCCCATTGAGCCTCGAGGACTCATTTACAAGAGAGACTTGATTTCAAGAAAGAAAGATGACAACAATGGACAACAGCAACTACAATAAGCAATTATAAAAAGTCATACTGCAGTTTTTTTTTTGTTTGTTTTGTGTTTTTTTTACAAATAGGATGGCTAAAAGAAAAAGGTAACAAAAAGAAAAATACCCAGCTAGATTCTAAGGCGAATGTAGAAAACTAAAAACAGGAACATGTCTGCGTTGGTCCCTGCCAGGAGTCCAAAAGATTCTTAAAGCCACTTAGAGAGGTCAAGGTCGAGAGCTTCAAATCTTTTTGTAAGATATTCTAGGAAACAGGAGCGGAGTAGGAGAAGGCCCTTTTGCCTAGTTCAGTCCTCATCGAGGGAACACTGCAGGTAATAATGTCCTGAGAGCGCACGCCGTAGCTGCACTCACACAGAGACATGTAGGAGGAGATGTATGAAGGCAGCAGACCAAGAAGTGATTTAAAGATGAAAATGTACCAGTGACAGAGTCTGCGTGAAGTTAATGATGTCCAGTTAACCACTGAATACAGGGTGCAGTGGTGGGTACGATAATCACAGCCAGTTATGAATCTTAGTGCACCATGATAGACAGCATCCAACATCTGCAGGTTTCTTGTAGGAGCGTTCATGTAAATAATGTCACCGTAATCAATGGAGGGAAGGAAAGTCAGATACAAGGCGTTTTCTAGCATTCAGGGTTAGACAGGATCTGTTTCTGGAAAAAGAAACCCAGTTTAACTTTCAGTTTCTTTACCAAGTTTTCCACATGGAGCTTAAAAGAGAGATGTGAGTCAACCAAGATACCCAAATATTTATAGGACTCAACAAACTCAATGGGGACACCATTTGAGGATAAAATCGGAGGAAGAACTGCTGGGACCAACTTCATATTTGAAAAAAGCATCCCTTTGGTTTTGTCGGCATTTAGGACAAGTTTGAGGCGGAACAAATCTGTCTGGATGTAGTTGAATGCAGATTTCAAAAGCTGGAAAGCCTTAGCAACAGTTTTAGCTTGACAATCAACAACTGTGTCATCAGCATAGAAATGTATGGATGCATTAGGGATGTTTTTACCTACATTATGTATGTAGATTGTAAAGAGGGTGGGTCCTAAGACTGAGCCTTGTGGTACACCATTGTTGACTGTTAAATAACTGGAGGAAGTATCATTATGTTGAACACATTGCCTCCGGTCTGAAAGATAGTTAGAGAACCAACCAATGGTGTTATCTGAGAAACCAATTTCTGAGAGCTTATGACACAAGATGTTATGATCCACAGTATCAAAAGCTTTAGACAGGTCTAAGAAAAGTGTAGCGCAATAATCCTTAGCATCCAGTGCTTCAACGATGTCATTAAGAACCTTCAGTGAAGCAGTGGTTGTGCTGTGTTGTTTCCTGAAACCAGATTGATGGGGAGGTAAGATGTTAAATGAATCCAGGTACTTTTTTATTTGAGAGTTTATCAGTTTTTCTAGAACCTTGGCTAAAATACAGAGTTTAGAGATTGGCCAATAGCTGTTCAGTGAGGTGGGGTCACCTCCCTTCATCAAATGAAGAACAAAGGCTGTTTTCCAAGTGTCTGGGATGGAGTTTTGTCTTATGGAGAGACTGAAGATGTGGGTCACAGGGACTGTGATGATATGAGCAGCCAGCCTTAAGAAATAAGGTGGAAGTTCATCTGGACCTGCAGATTTTTTAGGGTCAAGATCTTTTAACAGTTTATTAACCTCACTGACTGAGAACGGAGAAAAAGAGAAGGTGTGATTAACTGAGGATTGACTTGTAGGAGGGATTTGATTTGTAGAAGTTTGATTATTAAGTGAAATGGCTGATTTTCCATTAGTAACTGTGTCAAATAATGAACTAGAAGCAACAAAATGTTTGTTGAAACAGTTCAGGATCTCGTGCTTATTTGACACAGGAACAGAGTTAAAGAGAAGTTGTGATGGGAGGTCAGATGATTGGGGGGTGCCTGAGAGAGTTGATGGTTTTCCAGTATCTGTTAGGGTCATTTAGATTTTTGGAGGTCTGAGATAAGAAATAGTTGCGTTTTGCTGCTTTGACAGCAGTTGCACATTTATTCCTCATCTGTCGAAAACTCAACCAATCAGTGTCTGAGTAAGATTTTCTCGCTGCAGCCCAAAGATGATCTCTCCTGTGCAGGAGGTCAGCTAGCTCTGGAGTAAACCAGGGGCTGTCTCGTCCCTTTATTCTGAACTGACGAAAAGGAGCATGTTTGTTCACAAAATAAATGAAACTATTATGAAAATAGTTCCAAGCGGAGTTCACGTCATCAGTTAACAGAATACGATGCCAGTCAAAGTGAGACAGATCCCAGAGGAATGACTGTTCACAAAAATGTTTCAGATCCCTTTTTTGAATTAATCTGGGCTTAGAAGGTGGAAGTTTAATATCCCTCAAAGCTGCTGTCACACAATGATCACTCAAGATATTGGCAAATACACCTGTACCAGGGAATTTGTGAGGCATATTAATTAGAAATAGGTCTAAGATGGAAGATTTTTCAGGATGGTTTTTGTTTAATCTAGTGGGAGAGTTGATCAGTTGGGTAAGATTGAGAGACAGGCAACATTCCTTGAATTTATCACAGAGGGGGTCGACTTACCCCAATCAATGTTGAGGTCTCCTGCCAAAAGGATCTCTTTGAATTTTAAATTACCAAGAAATT